AAGAGAAAAACACTACAAAACTCCCACACTCCAGAAGCATTTCCTAAGCAAATTTAAAGGGGAAAAAATAAAGTAGATTTCATCTGTATAGGCCGAGAGGACTAGAGAGGAAATGAAGACCACCTTTTCCCAGACTTGGAGTGGCTAGAATCTACTGTGTACCCATGAGCTTTCCCCTCTTTTTGTGCCAGGAACCTTACAGCCCTCTGTGGACCTTATCTTAGAGGGAAAGGGACACTAAGAAAGAGGTAGCCATGCCCTCCTCTCCTTTATAACTCTACTCAGGATGGGGGGGAGCACAGGACAGAGGCAAAGCCCCACCTTCTTGTAGAAACAAAGGAAAGGATGAGACCTCAAACAGGAATACCTGGCAATGGATATAGTGGTGGTAGATGCAGTACTACAACCTCTTCTGGGAGACTCAGCCATGAGACACATCCTGTACACATGTAACTGTGTGGTGGCCAAAGAACTCGTAGGTTGGCTGGGATCTGGCCAGAGGTGTATGTGAATCTGAGGAACAAGACTGCACACACTGGAACACCTGGGAATGAAACCTTTTAAAGAAGGGCAATAAATATAAAGGAAAAGAATAGGTGGAGGATCAGAGCCTTGAGTCTCCAGACTGAAATTACACGTTCAGTCAAGCTGGCAAAGAGAAAGGCATGACTGATGTTTTAATTCCGGAAAAGAGGGAGCGTTTTTCCAGGCCGAAGATCCCTGCCCTGTTCTTTGAAAGGAGGCAAAAGAGCAACATCTGCTGCTGCAGCTGATTAACAGTGCCACCAGCCGGCCTGCTGGAAGAGTGCCAGTTCGCATGGCTGGGGGAAAACAAGGTAATGCACATCTACTCACCACCTTTCATCCCAGAAAGTCTTCACAGCCAGACTCTGATCCTGCAAGCCCGTTGCCAAATACATAAAGGGCAGCTGCAAGAAAGGTCTTACCCACAGAGGTGCTATGCAGCACTGGCTTGTATAAGCTTTAGCAGGGTCAAAGGAGATAATGAATCATTTTTGGGTTTCTGGCAGAGTATCCAACCCAGGAAGGCTTCTTCAAGTGTGGAGCACACCAGTCAGGTGTGATGAGCCATGTCAGAATGAGGCCTGAAATCGTGGGTGACTTCCTATTAGGAACTGAACTTTAAATTGAATTAAGTTTGGCATCTCAGAGTCTCCCTGTTCAAAACGCTTAGTAGGAGAGCGACTATTGCCTGGTTGTACTAAAAAAAAACACAACCCAAAAATATGCTCAAGCAAACAGTGCCAACAATGCAAAAAACCCAGGAAAGTTCTGTTGCAATAGAGTAAAGCCAACATAAAAAACTCTGCAGTAAGATTTCCTTAAAGTGAATCAAAGGGTCATGGAACCTTTCAAACAGCTTTTTGGACAGGAGTAAGGAACTGTTTTTTTCCCAGCAGCTCCAACAAAGAACTTCATAATGAAAAGCAGTTGTGGGAAAAGGAAAGGTGTAATTTATAAAGCCAGTCTCAAATTCTGGCAGCCTTGCACACCTTTGCCCAGGATACTGGTCAGGATTTTGCTTGATTTTAAGCATGTGATTATGTGACTAAATATTTGAATGAATGCAGGTCAGACTTCCGGGGAACTGGAACAGCATAAATGTTATACTGTGTGGTTGTCATGTGTGCTGTTAATGCAGACAGCTTTCTTTCCACTGACACATCTATGTGGGCATGTAGAAAGTCCCAGGTAACCACTAAAAACCTGATTGAAAAGAAGTATAGTGAGAAAAAGGATGAAATCTGAAGAGGCGGAAAATATGGCCAAACAATACATATTCCAAGCCCAGCAATAATTAATGTAAGGGATAACAATTGACCCTCAGTTAAAGCTTAATTTTCCATCTCCAAAACAGATCTGAGATTCAGCCAACATCTTTATCCAAAGACTCTTTGAAGTCAAAATGGAAGCAGTCTCGTTCCTCTAAGAGCCACTGGCAATATGTAAACATTCTGGCCAATAAAGGCAGAGAGATGCAGTGGTGATTAATGACTGTGTAAGCCTTGTTTCTGAAATGGATCCATACAGACTGTGTGATGCTGAAAATATCCTTTTTGCACATGTTTCTCAATTAAATTACTGCATCTTCATGGCTTTGAGACTGTCATTGAAGATGAATATGCTGATGAAGCAGAGGAAGTGCCTTTATTCCTAGGGAAGTAGTATCTAATAGGAAATGTCAAGGAAATGCTGTCAAGTGTCAAGGAGTGCCAGATAACACAATCAGTAAGAAAGTCACCAAGGAAGGAGGCAGAATGCTCTTAATACTATTGTCTTTGTTTCAGGTTTTCAGTTTCACAGAAGTGCTGACAGTGGCAGTATAACAAATGTATGTCTTCCTAGAGAGGTGACAAAACACAGCCTCCTTGTAAACCTCCCTTTCCTTTCCTGGAAGGCAATAGCAGTGAGCTGTTTTGTTCTAAGAGCCTGCCCTAACACACACCAACTGCACCATGCTCCAGGGAAGCAGGATACCACTTGCTTGCACACATTGTAGTGTGTTTTTTTTTCACATTCTCACTTTTGCTGGTTTATGAGTCATTTCCTTATTCTGAAATTCCAGTCATCTCCCCCACAGATGTGGTGTACACAGACAGGTAAGTTGATGGCTGTCAAATGAAGACGAGCACCTAGTTCTAGCAAATTCTGACAGGCATCCTGAATCACCCTAATCTGTCATTATCACCTCAAATGGTAAGTCCTCACTAGGGAATGAGTACCTGGATAACGGCAAGTCAGAGAAACTAAGTTTTTTGCTGGACTGTGTCATCTGTGCCTTGCCTTCCTTGCTTGCTTTGCATCCACCAAGCTACTTAGGTGTTCATTTCAATATTAGACTGTGAACAAAATAAGACATGCTCCAAAAGGATACATAAGAGTGGGGATGCCCCGTGTTGCCAAATATTTTCGGATGAGCCGCTCGGTACCGTACCAGTTGAAACCTTTTGTTGCATACCCAATACGTGGCAGATGTACTGTTGCTGAGAAGGAAAGAACAGAGAGTGCACACTCTTTAGGACAACATACACATATGGAAAGCAATCTAGACAAGGACTTCTTGTTGGGATACAACATATCTGTCATGGATATCTCACTCTTCACTTCAGAAAAAAACAGTACAGGAAAGGTGGAAATTGATTATTATCTTTAGGTGCAATCATACATGTAAAGAAAGATTCACTCTTCCACTGCACAAACACATACCATTCCTTTTCTTGGCTGCTAAATAAATTTTCTTCAGGCCCTTTTCCAAAGCAGACAGCTTAATGCCAGACAAGTTGTTGGACCGATCCCGGTGCTGAGCCACAATCAAGGCCAACTAAAGAGAAAACACACAAAAGCTTGAAATGGAGTCTAGATCCAGTGCTAAGAGAGACAGTGATAGTTGCTTGAAAACTGCATTACTACTTATTAGCTCTAATGAATGAAAGAAGGATCTCCTTTTCTCTAATGTTTAACTGCACCTTAGCCATGTTCAATATTCAGTGCCATTACTATTGAGAAAAAGACATAAGACCCATTTCACACAGCTTCAAAAACATGTGGACAGAGCTACACAAAAAGGAGCTTCTCATTCTCACCAAGTCTTGTCCTTTTTTCCTGGACTTCTTATCATCAATGGGAAATAACAGGGTTCCTCCTAACTCCAGGTCTGTCCAGAAACAAGAAAAGAAGAATAATTTAAAAAAAAATCAGTCCTGAGGAGTCAATAGCAAGTCAATGCAGAAGTGACTTCACTGTCACATTCTGTATTATTCTCCTTGGCTTTCTTTATCTCCTCACGATGGTCTCAGTGGAGTCAGACCCTTTGTCCAGGGAAGCAAGATGTTACACCCCCCAAGACAGACACACACATCCCAGTTAAATGGCAAGAGAGACACTGGATGCCAGAACAAGATGAAAGCATCTCCCAGGAAATTAGAAAAAAAACCCAACTAGATCCACGTTATGCAAAGATGAGCATTTCTCACGAGTAGCTCAAAACTGTTACTACATGCTCAGGAGAAGATTAGTGCTTAGAGGGAACCAAAGGCTCAAATGAGTACTGCCTGAGGTGGCTTTCACACTTCTTAAAATCACTTTGACAGAAGATGCAGGACCCTGTCTTATATAACAAAAAACATCCTGTGAATAATGCCCAAGCTATTTTTTTTTTTCTTTTTCTATGACTTGCAGCATAGACTAGAATGACCAACCCCTATGCAGAGCACTCACACTCCTAACAAGTCAAGTCAGAGCACTCGCTGTATTACTACCTTCAGAGCTAGGAATGCATGTATCTAGAAAAAGAGGAAAGAACATGAATATCAAGGTACCCAGACACCTCACTCCTGCAACATCCCTGTGACTGAAACTCTTTCAAGTGTCTTGGCCTAAGGTAAAGTTTTAATCTCTTACCTTTCATCTTTCCTGCCATCTCATATATTTTCCTTGGCTGATAAGAACGAGCCTCCAGAGCTGTAAATAAACCACCCCTTCCCCAGTGGCCAGAGTCATCTAGAATGAAATGACAAATCAGATTCGTTTTAAAAAGTGACGTTGAAGACCACCCTTGCAGGACAGGGACCTACTCTGTATAAATGCAACAAATTATTACCAAAACCAGATACAGGAATTACACATGAGCTGAAGTCAACCAGTACTAAAGGGGCCATCCTAGAGGATAACCTCAGCCCTTGAACAAAACAAACTTGTCACAGTTCCCTGAAAAACTCTCTGGGAAGAATTCCTTCTTAGTCCTCACAAAGCATGCTAAAACAAACACTAACCATGGCACTGAGCATCCTCAACCTGTCAGCATCATCACACATATGCATATAGGTGCATACAGCATCCCCCTAGTATGTCTCCAGATTGGTGTTTTGGATTTCTGACAACTAGATGTTTATTTGCAGGCTCTTACTTGGCATTTCCACTTCAAACATGACTTTCTGTGTTGAGTTTAACATAAACCAAAGCAGATTATAATGTTCTGCTATAGCCCTCATAAGAGAGCAGCTCCAACACTGATTCAGAAAGAACTCTGTAACCTGAATTTCTCTTCTTCAGCTTTAGCATCTTAACAGAGGTCCTTAAATTAGGAGACCAGCCTAGAGCCTCTGTATTGTTAAGTGTTGAGACACAAGGACAGAGAAAGCAGCTCTGACCTCAGCCTCTGGAAATGTCTCTCTCCTGCTGACTGTGTAAGGGAGAAGATTTTCAGTATCTCAGTTCAGTCCCTACAGCTTACGTGGGATGAACAAAAGGCCCTCATCTCAGGAGGTCCTGTCATCACTTTGCCACAGATATACAGTTTCAAGCCATACAGGTACCATTCAAGAGGCTCATCCATAAATCCAGAAAGAGTATGAAAAGACTCATGTACACCTTGCTAGTTAGTACTCATGTGGGTTACACATAGTGGAGTAGAGTCTGTATTGCCTCTGCACTACTCAAGATTAAGTCAAGACTCAAATGCAAAGTATTTCAGTCTGGATGGGAATGAGAAACTACTATGCTAGTAGGGACAATTCAAGCCCCTGCCCCACCTTGCCCACCCACATTCCTGGTGCCATAAATTCTACCTAGGCAGTGGACAATGATGGCATCCTCCTCTTCTGCTTTCGGGTAGGTGACATCTCCCATGACATATTTGATACAGTTCAGGTCTGCATCTTTGTAATCTAAATCCACATTCAGCCGAGCCTCATCCTTCTCAAAGTCTTCCTCAGAGTCACTTTCCTCAGAAGGAAGGCACACAGATGTGTAATGATTTGCCTCCCACCAAGCCATCCTGAAACAAAACAAGAGAAGATGATGTTTGATGAAAACGAGAGGGAGGGGAAGCACCTTAGTTACAAACATTGCAGTGAAACACGAGACTCAGATCTGCATCGCCTCTGCTCCCCTTCCCCTTTTTTGGACCAGAACCAAGTTTATCACAGTTGTTACCTGTGATATTAGGAGCCACATGCCAGTGTGATAAGCCAATTGCAAGCATGGAAAAAGTGAGCAAAGGGCAAAAGGTAAAAAGGAAGAACATCTAGAAAACAAGGAGGAGAAAGTTAAGATACATGCTAGAGTCACAGATGCCAGACCAACACCTAGAAGCCAACTGTGACATTTCAGAAAGCTTCTCCCAAAAGCTCACTGTACATTCAGATATGGGGTTCTTGCTCAGGCCAATCTCTATCAATTAAATTAGACGTGAAGTCAGGCAGGGGAATTCAGAGGAAAAGCACTCTTGCTAGGGGCTTGAGCCATTTTTCCACATTCACATCCCTGAGTGATGCAGTTTGCGTGCACATGCAGAAACAACCTGATGTGTGAAGCTAAGTCTCTCATGAGGGTGACCTGAAGCCATTTTGCCATAATCTCTTCCCCTCACCCCCAGACCCATCTGCTAGACTGGACACAGAGTATGACTTCTTTTGGTCAATCACACATTTAAGAGTACAGTCTAACAGACGTTAGCTTACAAGCAATAGATGCAGTACAAACCATACTTTTTCTTGTGTTCTGCCTCTGCTTTTGCCTTCTTCTTTTCCTCCATGAGCTTTGCTCTCTTTGCTGCTGCTTCTTGGCGCTTCTTCCTCCTAGCCTCCAGCTCCTCTGTGCTCAGCAAGTGCTTCCTCCTGCTTGGCTGCTCACGAAGGCCTGTGAGAAGTGCCTAGAGAAAAAAGGAAGTATCACGAAAAGAAATTGCTCATCTTAAAAGCCATGTCTAGTGCCCAACTTATAGACTCCTCTCCCATTTGTTGAATTGTCCCAGGACTTAATCACTAGATCCCAATTGTCACATAATATGCTGTTTTGTGGCCTAAGTTTGTATTAGTGCCCCGCACATCATATCTCTGCTCTGTTACCAGAATTCCTGAATTGTCAAGCCCTCAGATTCAAGAGCCAACTTCACTACACTGACATCTAAATCTTTTTAACATGCCATCTGCAGCTGTAGGCAAAGAGAGAAAACTGTCAGCCTCATTTTCCACAAATGAGAGGCTCATGTGCCTTGGCACGTCTTTTGTCTTACGTTTGCTTTGTTCCGGAGAGCTCTCCCTTCCTTACTGGCCTCTTCAGTCAAGGCTTTTTGAAGATCCAAAAGCTGGTCAAATGCTTTTTTGTCTTCTCTGCTGGGTTCTTTTGAATAATCTTTGCCTTCATATACATACATGTGATCTTTAAAAAATAATTTAAAAATGTAAAAAGAAAGCCACTAACAGCTATGGTGTACAATGACATCAAAAGAAATTTGGCTTAATTGTAACACTGTTCTATACTCAGCAGAAAAAGATGTTCATTCTCATCATTTTTTTCTGTGACCAGTGTCAGCATCATGTAGAAACAACAGAATCAAGATTTGCTTCCTCAGGCAAAAGCTCTTAATTTATGTCATTTATACTGGCAAAAAAAATAGTTAATTGGAGTTAATAGGGGAAAAAAGGCTTAAGTTGTGGTTTCATTAGTGTTCTCTTTGTCACTCCATCTCTGCCAGTAGCAAATTCATTTAGCTCTGATATCTAGTTAAAGGCAACTCTTTAAATAGATAGCTAACTTTTTCTTTTGAGCTCCCAAATGAAAAAGCACAGAACTCTGGTATCCCAGAGTTACTGCTCATTTTCCCCAATAACTATTATACAATGTGCTACCACTGCTTCTCCTTCAGTTACCAACTGAAAATACCACTCTTTGCTAAGTCTCAGCAAATAATTACTTGTTGCCCGCAACTGCTGTGAGGCAGATAATACCTAACCTGCAGGGTCATATTTCTGCTTCAGTCACAGATCCCTATTTAATTGCTAATGTGTACTCAAAACAGAAATTTGGTCTTTCTCACCATGCCACTAGATGCGGGAATGTACCCTTAGAATTTATTCTCATATCGTATGGGGCTATGAAAAACTAACCACAAAGGTGTGACATTTGGACAAGAACGCAGAGTACTGAAGACGGCAGGTTTGTTCTAGATGTTTACACAGCATGACTCTGCAGTTCCTATTTCACATTATGGAATTTTTAAGGTCATTTCCACTAGTGATTTTCATGGTAAATAATGTTTTGTTTGGAGATAAATACAAACCACAAGCTACATAGCCTTTCCTTAAGTTACTGTCATATCTTGGTTACTATTCCATCTCTAAAATTGTAGATCTGTCTTAATGGTTCTCTGTGGGGAAAGCAGTTTGAATAATTCCCCTTTTCTCCTGAATTTCATCTGATGTCTCAGTATATTTGTAGCACATGAAGGAATTCAGCCCCAGGCCACTAAAACTGGCAAGTATTGTTACCATTACCTTACAAATAGGCAAATAAGGACACACCAAAAAAGCAAAAGACCAATAAAAGCTCATAAATAATAGGTTGCAAACAGAATCCAAGTCACTTAATCACAAGTCTACTGACCCCTCGGCCTGGGAAGCCTTCTCTATCAGCATCCAAGTGTCATGAATTTCACAAGCATTTAGATTCTTAACTTACTCTCTGTGTCCTCTTCAGTCTCTTCTTCACATGGTAGCACAACATCCATTACCCACTTCCCTCCTTTTGTCTCTCCAAGGATGTTTTCTAGCTCCACATCTTGTATAGTACTCCCCTCAGAGGACAGCAATTTATCCAGGCCAAATTTCAAGATTTCACTCAGCTTTAATAAAGAGAAGAGGAAGTTCAGCATCTCCTATATGTCCTAATTCCATGTCAACCCCAGCATCTCGAGCTTTTCAGGCTTAAATGTAAAGGATGTACAAGTGGAGAAATCTAAGCCTTGATGTTACCTGTCAAATTATTTCTATTTTAACACACCTACTTCTCCCAACATCTGGTGAGACAGCCCCCTACAATGTATGTCCCTCAAACATAACTCATCTAGACTTGAATTATTGTATTTATTCAGGGTGGAATGACAAAACAGTCTTGTACTGACTGCACTCAAGCAGCGTTCTTCATAGACAGAAAGACTGGGCTTGTTTTTTGCCTTCATCTCCTTTAAAACAAGAGCTTAAATACCACAAAAATCCATGGGGAGAAAAATACCTGCATGGAATTTCCTATGGGCTCAGTTTCACTTCTCCCATGGAAACTGTAACTGCTGAGATACACGCTGGTAGGGTGGGAAGGGGAACTGGCAGGGGAAAGGATACACGAATTCTAAACCTCTCCCATGTTTAGCTGCACAAATGGGATATACTCCCCTAAATCACAGATTCTTAGGAGTTGGAAGGGACCTCAAAAGATGATCTAGTCCAACCCCCCTGCCAGAGCAGGGTCACCTAGAGTACATCACACAGGAACGTGTCCAGGCAGGTTTTGAACGTCTCCAGCCAAGGAGACTCCATAACCTCTCTGGGCAGCATGTTCCAGTGCTCTGTCACTGTCACAGGAAAGAAATTTTTTCTGATGTTTACGTGGAAAATGTCACTTTTCTTTAAGTTTTCAAACCAAGTTCTCAGCAAAAACCTCAGCTTTCAGATCAGAATTACAATTCATGCCCTGACACTTCAGACATAACATTTAGCCAAGAGGTCAACAGAAGGTTGACTGAGTTTCCAACTAGCAACCAAAAGCTGACTAAGTACTTATCAGCTCTGCTTGTGAGAGACAGGTAAGTTCTAGAAACAGTGAGTCAGCTTTCACTTTAGACCTGTTATAATTAAAAGAAAAACAAGTAAGACAAGGAAAGGTTCTGCCTTCCCCTCTTCTACAAGAAAACACACCCTTTTCCAACAATGGATGAACCTAAAAATTGTAAAAGCTGTCTTCAAATGTCAGGTCTTCTCCAGACCTGGAAAGTAATTTTGGTTCCCAAGACATTCAAAAGCTGTCATGTCAATGCACATCTCCCCCAGAATGCTGGCTAGGTTCTTATCAGACATAAAGGTAGAAACAGTCTGGGACATTTCCAAAGATGTTACTGGTATCAAATTGAGGACATAACTCTTTTTACCTGTAACTCTGCTGCTCCCTGAGGCTTGGGTGCTCCCAGAGCAAAATGACCCCCTTCTACAATGGCATTTGTCAGCTGGAGTTTAGAAGCAGCTCTTCGGTAGATTATTTCTTCAACTGTATCTCGCCCAATCAAGCGGATAATTTTTACAGGCCTTGAAAAGTTCAAGAAAATTCCTATTAGTTGGTTGTTGGGGTTTTTTTGAGGTGCAATAAAGCAGTATCCTCTCACCCACTTGTTTGGTAGGGAACAAAAGGCAAGAACAAAATCAGCAAAAATATTCAGCAGAAACGTAATGCTGATACAATTGATTCTTGACAACACGACAGAAGTGCAGGCAAACTTCCACATTTCCTCTCCTGCTCCAAATCTACAAATCTCCCACCCTTGGCACATGACAAGACTTCATGAGGCTGCACCAGAAAATCAAAGACAAATTCCTCTCTGCTCTCCTTCTTTGATCTTCCATCTATTTTACTTTAATCTTCCGTTGCCTGTGGATAGGGAAAGCAATATTGAGAGACCAAGAGAGTGAGTAACCAAACCAGAAGTAGCAACATTTCTCACTTGTGCTGTCCAATCCGGTGAGCTCTTGCTATTGCTTGTAGGTCATTTTGTGGGTTAAAATCACTATCAGTAAAAATAACTGTATCTGCTGCTGTAAGGTTCATGCCAACTCCACCTACAAACAAAGCAGAAGGTCACAAAATATGTCACCAGCAGAAAATAAAGGATAAGCTGGAGAACTTTTGCTGTGCATGGTTCTGTCAGGTCTCATCAACTGTATCTAAGTCAATCCATTACCAAACCCCAAATCTAAGAGTCTCATAAGGATCTAAAAATATGGGTAAACCTTCCATTTCCAGCTTTCTGCAACAGCCCCAAATCAAGCTGTACTGTGCAATGTAGTCAAAAAAAGAGAGGGTGCAAATGAACCAAAGCAAAGGGGAGTGGTTGTCAAGACTGCAGAACACAAATATATTCTTCCTCTGGCAGGCAGATCATCCTAGCAAGGACTGGCTTCACTGAGGCTACAAGGGACTGCCCAATTTTTCACTTCGTTGCAGCACAGAGACAACTGGTAAATACAGTTTGAATCTGAATACAGTTATATACAGTTGAATTGAATACAGCTGAAATAGTGGAAAAACACCAGGCCAAACTATACAACAACTAGAGCCCAGGATTTATATGACTAAGTTTTTAAGATCAGAGTTTGGGCTCATCCAAGAAAGCCTGACCAGGAGCTCAAAGAGAAACTTAGTTCCAGTTTGATGCCTGAGGTCAAGCAGTGCAGATCCCTCCTCTGGAGACAAGCAGAAGCCTGCCTCTGTGCTTGCTTGAATAGAGAGACAGGGAGGTTTGACACTGTGTAGAGGATACATAAATCTGCCTGAGGAGCTAAGGGGAAGAAGCATAGATGGCAGTCTCATGGTCTTCCCTGCAGTCTCAGAATGGTAAAAGGCTCTCATTTGAGTCTGTCTGCCAGCTAGAGAGAACGTCCATGTTCAGTGGACCTGAGAAGCAATTCTACCAGCTTATTTAAAGGAAGGCTGCTCCTGCCTAACGTCTGGCACTTGTAGAAATAAAAGGCTAGTGAGATTCCTTAAGCTCAGCCTGGCACAGGGACAGGCATTATGGGACTTGGAACAAAAAAAAGTAACTCAAGTGGCTGCAATATTAAAAGTATGTTGGCATCTGCTGCCAAAAGGAAAGCACAGAAACCAAATGTCCTAGCTCAGAGACCCCAGTTCAGGATGTCTTGTCTCCCTCAAAAATCCTCCATGTGAACAGGCTCTGCAGGATTCAGAACTCTGAAATCTAGCCAGAGAGAGCAAAAGGAGAGCGTAGAAGCAAGATGGGTTGTTTGTCTCTCCTTTCCTTACTTACCTGCTCTGGTGCTCAGCAG